TCATTCCTGTCCTGGATTACTCTACTTGTGTCATCAAGTCAGACAAGCTGCTACCCAGCTCCCTGGTTGATCGTCTCAAAGTCGCCGTCAAATCTCTCGAAGATGTTCCCGACGTCGAAAAGGATTGGCATCCGGGAAGTGACGGTAAAGTCCTCGATCTAGTACACCCGTCACTCTTCCCACTCCTGTACGGCCGCTCACGTATCATGCATCAACGCATCACATTAGATGACTGTCTCGAAATTGGCGGGCCTGGATTCCTCATACCGAAACCCGACGAGTCTGATGTTGGTGAAGGTAGAACTTTCGACTGGCAAGGCGCACCTGTTGAGCTGGTGTCCACGAATTTTCAGTGGCTACCATCTGACGTCGCCATTAACGAAGACGGCCGACCTACCATCGAGAGTTATGTCAATAACTTGCACCCAAGGGAACATTCCGATCTGTACCCCTTAATCGAAGAGCTGATACAGAAGTCTTTGCCAGCTTGGGATATCATCTATCGCTGGGTGAGAAAGTTCCCAGTACAGCGTCTCAGGGCTCGAAAGGTTGGAAAGCGTGTTGCGATACCCGATGCTGTCCCAGAGCAGGGAAACCAGTTAGACGGGAACGAAAATGATGTTCCCATGGATAAGCCAGATGGCCATCACCTGGAGATTGACGACTTGGTCCAGCCCACAGCTGCTACTGGAGAGAAGATGGGCAGACAACGCGGAGACGCCCACGAAAGCAAGCGACTGAAGAGCGACGATGCGGCCTCTGAGGATGATGAGCACGACGATGAAGACTATGATGAAAGCGACGATGAGGAAGATTACGATGACGACTATGATGACGACTATGATGACGACGATGACAGCGACAGCGAAGACGAGCAAGTCCGAGAGCCCTCTTCGTACTTCAGGCTGTCGCCCAATAAAATCAAACAAGCCGGATTCTTCAACAACGCGCCACGCATTCAAGTCATCGTCAAGCTCGCCAACATTCACCTTACGCCCGAGAAGCCAACCTACGACGGCGGCTCATGGCACATCGAAGGTCAACTCAACGAGCACATCTGCGCCACAGCACTCTTCTACTACGATAGCGCCAACATCACCGAGTCCCAGCTCGCTTTCCGCGCTCCAGGGAACAGGGAGAAGCTGGATCAGCGTCTCAACTACCAGCAGTACGATCACAAGTCCATTGAAAAGGTCTTTGCTATCCGTAGTAGCTCTGATACCCTCCAGGAGGTGGGCAGCGTGCTGACGCGGCCTGGGAGGGCACTCTTCTTCTCCAACTTGAGCCAGCATAAGGTGCGGCCTTTCAGGTTGGAGGATCCGACGAAGCCTGGGTACAGGAAGATTGTGGCTCTGTTCTTGGTCGATCCTGCTGTTCCCGTAATCTCGACGGCGAATGTGCCTCCTCAGCAAAAGCATTGGTTCGAGGGTAAAGACCAGGTTCATGGAGCGAACGACATAGTTGAGACCATGAGCGCTCTGATTGAAACGGACGAAGCAAAGAAGATGCGCGAAGAGCTCATGAAGGAAAGAACAGTTTTGTCAAAGGCTGTTAATGACGAGTTGAGAGATGTGGAGTGGAGTTTCTGCGAGCACTGAGATAAGGTTGAGTCGGCCTTGCTAGTACTGAGACTTTATATAGATATGAACTGGAGGTGATTCAGTACCTCGGAGGTTTTCACACTGTTATGACTGCTGAGGAAAGGCGTATGCCATATGTGAGAGAAACTACGCAGCCCTTCAAGCATGCAATTGTTGACGGTTACGACACTGGCCCACCACTGCTTTACTTGCTTTGCATCCACGGGTTGGGATGCCCATCCCTGTACAAAACCTCATTATTGACCCTTGCGCGATCTGTAGTGCCCTTTCGTTTCTGACAACATCTGGGAACGGCCAATACCTTCTTTCCTGTGTATTCCAGTGCATCGACCGGAAATCTCACGTATTCGTTGGCAGTCTTGCCCTGATCAGACTCCACCTCGATGATGTTGAGTTGTAATACCTCTGGATCGGCGTCATCCACGGGAACAAGATGATCGAACGTAACACCATAGTAGTCTAAGTCGCTATTTAAAAAGACACCTGTCGTTAGCTGTAATCATTTCAGCCGGCAATGGATCAAACCTTACTCTACTATTCTATGACCCTCTCCAATCCATCCAATGTATTCGTCCCGTACGACCAAATCGCCAGGGACATCAGAACGGACGCTCTCCCCATAAATGTGCCGAAACGTCAGCGTTGCGAGTAGTGGACCAGCTTCCTGAGGAAACTTCCCATCAAATACGCGAGTATCCCATGAAACAGACGGGAATAGCTTTTCTATCGATTCTCGTGGACCTTCGATCCTGATTCTGAGCGGCCGCTCAATATCCGGTAGATGGAGATGCCCAGCAGGAGATCTCACACAGGATGGAATGAAGAGGTCAAGAGCCATTACGAGACGTCAGGATTGATTGATTATCTGGAATTTGGAAGTGCGGTTGGGGAAACACACTACAACTCAATTGGGTTGAGGGGTAGTGAGCTGTATTTATAATTCTTTGATGCGGCTGCCTTGGGCATCTGCCTAATTATTTTTGATCCAGAGAATTCGCGACAAGGCATGTATGGTTCCGCATGCATACCAGTCATGATTTATGATTGGATAGGTTGGTTCTGAACACGTATGCGATGTGTTTCTCATCCCCCAAGTACTACCCAGGTTTATCTACTTTACCGACGTTGGCTTCGCCTCTCCAACAGTCGTGATCCTTTGTTGGTTATTGCTGCTGCCTGAAATTTCTGCACATGAAACTTGCGCGGGAGGATGGAGGGCGAACAACACTCTTTGATAGAAACTAACTAGGGCCAGGTATAGTCGAAGAAGCATCGTTTGGATGCACCCTGCTCCTGGCTGGATGGCTTGTCATAAGGCTACATGCTTTTGACCAGTGCATTAATCAATATGGTTTAATTTCTGCGCCTTTTAGTTCTACAATTCTCTCATCAAAGATGAATGCCGCAATGCGGCTAATACAGACGTGTGCCATTATTTGCGTTTCTGCATTAGCGAGGCATCAAAGAAAGAAACCAGTCAGGTGTTGTAAACGAACAGACTTAGATTCCCCTTATATGCAGGCTTCCTCAAGAGTTCCACAAAGTTCTTGCTTGCCTCCAAAACCCCGATACAATGACGAACTTACGAAGAACCCTAGATTCACATAATTGATTATGCTCCTACAGTCACCTACAAGACGGTCAACAGAGAAAGTTAAGTTACACCCACTTGGATTTCAAGATGTATACCCTGCACAAACTTTTAAGTTTCGCACACGACTTGTCATCAGGCCGTCACTCCGACTCTGTGCATAGTGAGGCATATGTAGACTAGACCCTATTTTTATTGACTACAGGTCATCACGAACTAACTAAGAGTCACTTATTGTGACTTGGCATTGACTGCCTTAACTTCCGGCAACTATGGTGCGTGGATGTCAAACATGATTGTGATCAAGTAACCCACGCCTTTGACTCATTATTTCAATGAGACACTCTAGAATCTGGGTACGTCCCCAGCTCGCATTCCGATAGTTCATACTTCGCTCCTCCTGCAACTCTTGGGGATGATGTCTACTTTTTGTGACCATCGGATGACGGAGGGGTGTTGCATTCGAGTCTTCCGCAGTTTGCTGTAGACAAACGCACTGTGTGACGCACTTTGACACATTGTGGCGTGCCTTTATAAGCGCAGTCAACCTTTTCTGTTCTATTTTTATGGTCACACTGATAGAGGTAGATGGTGGTTGTACACATCGTCACTACTTCTCATTAGATCATGATAGCGTACTATGTTTCGTATCATGCATACAACTTACAAGAAATAAGTATGGCTAACAGGCTGCGATCGTTGAGGCGACTATTAATCGTGATAAGAAGTGGTAAATTGTGATCGAGAGTAGAGATTGAAGTACGGAACTACTTCTGGGTACGTGTCCTTCATACGTGAGGAGCTGAGCTGCCTCTTATATAGTATATGCTAGGTAGCCTAACTTACTATCTTACCCCGGAGCTTTGTTGATTCTGGCCATATACCTGCCATCTTTCACCAAGCATCGTTGCCCTCCAGCTGTTCGGAAACATAGCGCCGCCTCCCACATCGACTCATCACGTAGGATAGCTCGTAAGCACTCACGTCTGCAGAAGTCCGTCGGGCCGATGTTCACCTTCGTGCTGGATATCTTAATCCTTGCCTTCAATTTTGTTCAAAGCAAAGTTAGAACCAATTCTTTCTTCTTCAGTGATGTGTGACCGCTCATGACTAGTCTCAGGTCTTGATGCTTGAATCTTTGTTCTTTGACATTAGGTGTTGGCAAGGGTAAGTATCCTGAAGCTTTCAGCATTATACCATCCGGTGTTCACTGCTGCCTTTGTCATTTATATCTTTGAATATATGTCCCGTGGAGAAGACTCCCAACTGCAATCTCTCTAGTTTCATCTTCTTGCAGCGCCCGGCCCGTCATACTCATCCACACACTTGAACTTCTGGCTTTGAGATGTTCATTTGCAGTTGGTCAAGTCCGGATACCTCTCTTGATCTGCTACTTATGTCAGCAAGCACAGTGAGGCTGCTTTCTTGAAGGACATGTACGTTGTTCAATACACGCCCCCAACTATATCGAATTTGTGGACTGAACCGGTGAGTCCGACGTGCTGTCACCATTCCACCGCCCATATTGCTTTGATTCTGCAGAATTCACCAAAAGCTGGGTGAACTGATGTCTTTGTTTGGACCTTACAGGTTTCGTCAAGAGGTTTACCGTTGGACGTCAACTGCAACACCTAAGCCTGATATGGCCAAGACACTCACCAACCCCCACACTAACTTTCACGACCTTCGGCTGCCCAACGACCTTTGCAGCCTCAGGCACTCACGGCCTTAAAGAACACGACGTTGGTTGGTGGTTCCAGCTCCTCCACGTTTGCATGTCTTCTTCTCTCTCCTCCTTTATCAGCGCAATGGCAGCTCGGATACACTCTGACAATCTCAAATGGGATCAGTCTGAAGAACTCTACGAACAAGATACGGCCAGGCTTCGCAAAACTTCACAATTTGAAAAAGTCAAAGCTGTTGCAGAAACCGCGTTGGGCACGTCTCTCGAGCGCGCACCACCATTGGTGACGGGCGGCTTCCACATGCTCTATCCCTTTCGACCGGACGGCGGAAGTCCTTCCGCTAAGATCTTGGTCCGTGTACCATTCCCGAGTCAAGGCATTTTCCATGAAGAGAATCTAGCCATGGAGGTCGCGACGGCGAGATATCTTGCCCAACACACTCAGCTCCCAATCCCGAAGGTGTATCATTATGGTGTTGATCCTAGACCAGGCATTGGTCCGTTCCTGATGATGGAAGATCTCGGGTCCAAAGAACTTGAGACCATGAGTAGATCTCTACGCCGCATTCCAACCCAGCCGTGCTCGATCCGAATATGCCTGAAGGCAAGCTCAAGAGTCTCTATCGCAAGATGGCAGAATGTGTGCTGCAGCTTGCGCAGCCTAGCTTTCCGTGCATTGGAGCTCTTGTCGAAACAAGCCCCGGGTCAGGATCTCAACGTATAACCGGACGGCCCATCACTCTGAACATGATCAACATGGTCCAACTGTCTAACGTACCCAAATCCATCTTTCCGCCTAAAGGTACTACGTATAGAACCACCGATGAGTGGTACATGGTCTTGGCTGAGCAGCAAATGGCAACACTCCTTTTTCAGCACAACGATATTATCTCGTCACGGGATGATTGCAGGACCAAGTACGTCGCGCGCCAGCTTTTTCGCAGGTTGGCCAAACAAGGCCGACTGTCGAGTTATGGCTTTGCTGAAGATGACTGGTCCGCCCGCGCTAAACACAGCCCTGCAACACTGCCAATGCCCAGCAACTCGGGCTCGTTTCGCTTGTGGTGCGATGACTTCAGGCCGGCGAATGTTCTTGTTACCGAGAATGATGAAATCGCTGCAGTCTTTGACTGGGAATTCACGTTTGCCGGGCCGACGCAGCTCGTGCTAGATCCACCCTGGTGGCTTCTTCTTGATACGCCCGATTCCTGGGACAATGGGATTGAAGACTGGGAGCAAAACTACGAGAAACGCCTCCCAACATGGTTGTCAGCCTTGCAAGAGGCGGAGAAAGAAATGAAGAAGTCAGGGACGCCCTTTCTTCTCTCAGCATATATGCGAGATAGCTGGGCCACGGGGCGTTTCTGGCTTAATTATGCCGCGAGGAAGAGTTGGGCATTCGATGCGATTTACTGGAAATATCTAGATGAAAAGTTCTTCGGTAAACGTGATCCAAACAGCGGTGTGCCCAAAAGCAAGCTTTGGAAGACTAGAATCCACCTTCTCAGCCCAGAAGAGCAAGCTGCCATGGACACCATGGTGGAAATCAAGATGGAGGAGTCAAAGGAACGGATATTGGTGGACTGGGAAGATACAGAGGCAAGACAACGTTTGAAGTCATTTTTGTTTGACTAGACCTAAGCTTTGACACATGTCAGACTAGCCGTGATCGGCTATTGCCTTTCTGACCATCCGGTCGGGTGTAAGCATTATGTGCTTGATCGTGGAATAATGAGCGCGCATGGCAAGGAAACGAGGAGAGTATTAACACCTTCTAAATAAAAAAATTGTTATCGACCAAGAAGCAAATGGACCAATATCGAGTCTAAACGAGATTTTCTACCATATTATGAACAAATAGCGACCATTTGAAGACCTTCCAGGAACTACCTTATTTCGGTACAGGGTGCATGGAGAAGTCGGGGTTGTTGAAGCTGACGGTCTTATCTCTCATCCCATTCAGATGCCCATCAAAACGGACAAGATCGCGCAATCCGCGGGTAGTGGGGTTAGGCGGGGTTCAGCATCTGATCCAGAGAACCTTTGTAAGCCTTAGTACCGAACGGGTGTAACTCTGATGACAGGATCAACCCTTCATGGTTGCGGTTAGAGACATCGGCCGAACCTCGGTTAAGCCCAACGACCTTCCCTTCTTTATCTCCCATGGGATATTTGGGGATGGCGAAATGTGCAACCCTTCAAGACGACATCGTTGAACCCCAGTGGAACCCTTGGATGGTAGTACGCGGGCTGGCGTGCAGGCTCGCTTCAAATAACAGACAAAATGCCGGGTGCAACCTTTGGGGAGGCGGCGCCGCTGCTTCCCGGCTCGACACTCTCACATCGAAAACGTGAGCAGCCAGTGTCTGAGATGGTGTCAAAGATCAAGGAAGCCCTCTGGGGCCCGCCGTCGGTTGAGCGATCGCTGCTTATCAAGCTTGATTTCACCGTACTCATTTACTTTTCCGTCGTGTGGTTCTTGTTCGGCGTCAACCGCGCGAGCTACAACACAGCGTATATCAGCGGCATGAAGGAGGACCTGAATTTCCAAGGAAAGGTGAGCCACGCCCGACACTTCAATAAGAGGAACGTCCAAAAGTCTGCATGCGATATAGGATTACTGACTCAACTCTAGGACTTCAACTACATGCACACCATCTACCTAGTCACCTACGCCGTATTTCAAATTCCCTCAACCTCACTCTTGACCATCGTAAAACCCCGCTACGTCTTCGTCGCAGCGAACACAGTCTGGAGCGTCCTCACCCTCGTCACATTTAGAGCAACACACGTCTACCAAGTTTTCGTCCTCAACGGCTTCGAGGGCGCTTTTTCAGCCATCGCATAGTAAGTTTTCCCATGCGCCTCAACGAGCTACTTCTTTTTCTAACAACACTGCTCAGTGTCGGCGCGCACTTCATCTACGGATCATGGTACAAGCAATCCGAGCTAGCCACCCGTGCAGCAGTCTTTTGCGCCTTTGGCAACCTCGGTAACATGGCAGGAGGCTGGATCCAGGCGGGACTTCTGGCATCCCTATCCGACGGCCCAATCGAGCCTTGGCGACTTATTTTCGTGGTGGTTTCGTGCATCACCATCCCCTTTGCCGTTTTTGGTGCGTGCCTACATTAATGCTTCCATCCTAGTGTCTGAGTCAAAACTGACATGACAAAAGGCTGGTTCGCCATCCCTGACCTACCAGAGCATCGCGCAGCAAGATTCTTGACCCCAGAAGAGAGGGACCTCGCCGTCACCCGCCTCGGAAGAACACAGACAAAAGCATGGGATAAGAGCGTATTCCAACGTGTCCTACTCAGCTGGCAGTTCTGGCTCCTCCCAACCGTCTTCATGCGTGAGTCTTCACAACCGTTTAGCCTTTGGAATGTCACTGACGTGCGAACATAGTCTACTCCCTCAGCGTCCAAGCAATAGGCAACAACGTCATACCCCTTTGGATGGCATCCCGGGGCTACTCCATAATCCAGCAAAACAACTACCCGACCGCGACCTACGCCACGGGCATCGTCGCAACCTTCATTTACTGCGCCGTCTCCGATAAGCTTCGCTCGCGCTGGCAGGCCTCGCTCTGCATCGGGTTCACGTTCATCGTCAGCAGCGCAATCTTGATCTCGGACCCGCCGGACGCAGGGTACTTTTTCGCGTTTTATCTCATGGGCACGACATATGCGCCGCAGGCGCTGTGGTACTCGTGGATGGCGGACCTGACGGCGCACGATTTGCAGCTGAGGGCAATTACGACGGGGTTCATGAACTCTTTCGATTTTGCGTTTGTGGTGAGTGGGCTACCATTTCTTCTCCATTAACATTTGTCTGGCGCTGACTGATGAAACGTACATGTAGACTTGGTGGCCTCTGATCTTTTACCCCGTGACGGATGCACCGAATTATCGGAAAGGTTACATTGCTAGTCTGGTGACGGGCGCGTTGACTGTGCCGGCGATTTTGTTAATTGCCTATCTTGAGAGGCGAGGGAGAAAACTTGGCAAAGTGGGCAGTGTCCGCGATGAGCACGCGGGAAGCTCGAGGGATTAGAAGTAGACAGAGAATGGAGGGAGGTGTTTACACGATACAGTCATTTCAAGATTTCATTAACTAAATGTTGCAGAGCGAGGCAGGTCGGACAAGACCCTGAATCATGATACGAGGCCTGGATAAACTGTTACATAGACGTTATTCATTTGTGTAGGAATTTGGAGCCACCTGCTGTTGCTGTTAGCTCAAATACAGGACAGAAAAACCGAATCATTTGGGTGGCGGACGGTGAAGAATTACTGAAGGCCAAGAAATAGACTCGTAATTCTTAAGAGTTCGTATTGATGACTCGTGTATGCTATGACGTATCCGTTTACTGTACAGCTCTTGGAATTCGTATGCTGTATCCCACCCGCAAGATCAATCTCTCTGGAACGCCGTGTATATGTTACAGTCCTTTTCCCTTCTCATAAATGTCATAACCTCATTACCAGGCCTCCCACATCTGCGACCCCAAGGCCACGAGACGATTGAAGAGCTCGTCTCTCGAAATGATGGCAGTAAGATGGTACTCCTTGCCCATGCTATCCGTCACAATCAGGCCGTCTGCAATCTCACGATCGGTAGCCCAGCCGACAAAGATCTTGGACTTCCAGCCAAGTCCGCCAACTTTGCGAATTTGCTAGCGGAGTACACGTCAGTCATGGTATTTGGAGAGACAGTGCCGAAAGTTCTCACCTCAATGTCACCAATTGTGACAGTCCACGTCGGACTCAAGTCATCTGACTCCGTCGTCCAACTGAGCGCGGGAGTCGTGGCTGTAGTCGTGATATAAGCATGACCCCTCTTGCCCTTCCAGCGCGCGGGGAAGCGGACGGGACCCTTCTCGGGATCAGGCGTCTTCTTGACTACGCCCAGCCTGTCCTTTGCGTGTTTAGCGCCGACCTTGGCCTTTACCTTGTCCGCGGCGAGAGTGGTGTTGATGCCGCCCTTGGCGGTGCTCTTGATGAAGTTTATGATACGATGGCCCTTCTTCTGCTTGTGCTCTGCCGTTTCCGATTCAGCTGGCGCCAAAGCTGCCTCGTCGGGCTGAATGGCTTCGTCTATTTCTGCTTGATCTACGCCTGGTGAGTTATGAGCCAGTGCTTAGCAATATTTTGAAATCATGGGTTACTCACCGAGATGCTCCAGATCCTGGCCAGCGGTTGCATGAGGTTCATCAGGTGGCGGTACATCGGACTTTGGCGGAGGTGGAAGCGGGGCTTTATTCCTCTCGCCGATACGTAGGAGCGTGATAGTGACTTGGGCATTGGTGGGAATGCCCTTGAGAATGGTGTTTCGCAATTCAACATACTTCTGCCATTGAGGGTAGGTGCTGGACATACTTTAGACACGCGAGTAATCAACGTTGAAAGAAAAACTGACCGGTTGATAAACACCAGGCCTCTTTGGATGATGGGGTCTCCAAAGATGGTGAATCCAACCACAAACCCGGTGCCCTTGACTACCATGTACGAGGTTGTGAACAAGGAGACGAGTAGCAGTGGCAAGATAACGCTAGCAAGGACAAGACGGGGTCTCTGCTGAGGGAATGGTGGAGTTGGGCTCAGGGCGTTTCCGAAACGCTCCCAAGTATCGACGAACTGTTCATTATGTCGTCAATTACATGAACAAGTGGCTTACGGGTCAGAGTACTCACGTCGGCGATGCCATGCATCACAGGCCTAGCCTTGACCCAAACGGACTCGTGAACAGGCTTCTTGGTTTTATCGTGGTGGGAAGTGGGTTCCTTGCCGTCCGTCTTATCCTTGGCATTGACGACATCTTGGGTCATGTTAGTAGGGTCGGGGACAGAAGAGTCGTCGTGGGGATCGCCTTGAGGATGTTTTCCCGCCGCCGTGCTGATGATCAGCGATGAGATGCTGTTCACGAAGCTCGACGCCTCCTGTTCCACAGCCTCTCCTGCGTGCTTCTCCGGTGCGCCGGTAATCGAGTCATCGGACGCGAGGACGCCAGATGCGGGTTTCTTGACGCCGCCGGTCTTGCTGTCGATGAGGGAAGCGGGGGCGGGAGGGAAACAAAAGTCTCGCGATTGCGGGACGAGGATGAGTACGATGAGGAAGCTGGCGAAGACGGGGACGACGTAATCGAAGATCCAGGCGATGGAGTAGACTGCGAGGAAAAGTGAGGTGCGCTTGTATTCGCGCCATGAACGAAGACGGACAATATGCTTCCAGAAGGAGAATAAGCCAACAACAACAGTCATGTACAAGCGCTCGACATGGGCGCGGAGTTTATCTGGCGAAAACTCCTCCTCGTCGGCGATGTTCATGTCCAGGTTTGCAAGCTGCCCATCTACATTTAGCTGCTGATACGCGGCAAGTTGGAATGGCAAGCTCACCGGTGGCTCGGGAATCGACTTGACGTGGAAGATTTGCTAGAAAAGTATCAGTATCCCTTCGGATGGCATAATTCAGCATAGAGTTCGTTCGGCTCGCTCTACCTTGTCAAATCGTCGAACCAATATCCAGAGATCCTCGTTGCTCAGACCGCCAACCATGGGCTGCGCAACCTTGCTGGGCGGGTTGTTCCATCCCAAGTTCTTCACTTCAACATGATCGTGGTCAAGCTCGGCGTGCCCCTTCTCCTCGATCGGCTTCTCCTTGGCAGCCATGTCTGCCAGGTGATGGCTGTCTGTCGGTCTCTCCTCCTCATGTGCTTCTACTATCTCGGGCTCCTGTCCCATCGTCGACTGGCTGGAGTATCCATAGCTAGATTGGCTCGCCGGGGTGTCTACACCGGGTTCTGAAGCAACAGGCGGAGGCGGAGGTGCTGTGGTTGGCGGAGGTGGAGGCGGTGCGTGTGAATCCATCTCGTCGATGTCGCTAGGTTTACCCTTGAACATGGTTGCTGTCGTTCCTGTTCGTAGGCGGAAAGAAGCGATGGGATAGACGTTCGACTGCGATGCGGGGGACCTCCAATCTTTGAAGTCGTCTCGAGGTTCATCGGCTCGTATGGGGCTACGAAGCTGAGACAGCTGAAAATCATGATTTGGGGAGAAATCATGCACGAGCAAACAGCTGGAATGCAGCCGCCGCCGACGTCAAGCGCGTATCTGCTCGAGCTAGGTACTTACCGTATTTGGGTAGGTATGCATGACGTCACGGGCCGCGCAGCACCAAATTGGGTGCTCCAAGGCGATGATCGCGATCGTTAGCCACCAGTGCACACGGAAGATCTCCACATGGGTGAACAAATCCATGGATGAGCCGACTTAGAGTGCTTGGATGTGCAGCAAGACGGGAAGCAATGACACCTATTTACCGTATGATTGGGTGGCATCTTCTGCTTGGCCTGCCGTTTTGACAGCTCCGAGCTCGTGTAGCCACATTTTTCGTGTAGGCAAAGGGAGGGAGGGCGATCCGGACCATTCGATCCTGGACTCGATGGGTCGCGATCATTGGCTTAGCCAACGTGCTCTTTACTCACTTTCGTCTTCAGTGTAGATTACTCTGCTCAGGAACACCATTCAACATGGTCTGAACCCGAGGTCATTGAAGCTTGAGCATTATGGCGATGACAAAGGAATTACCTTGACTTTATTGCTTTGATTGAGCAAGAGGCCCATCATAATCATTGGACTCTCACTGACTTCTTACTTGGACTTGGAGCTTCTCTGCTGATGAGTGACTCTCGCTCCACTTAACTTGACTGATCTGGATTTAATGAGCGATTCTAATGTCAAGTCTCACGTCGACTAGCACAGACCCGAATATCTACAGTGTGACCAGATCTTGCGCTCAGCTAAGCACCTGCTCATGCTAGCTGATCTAGGCTGGACTGGGCCTACGGACTACAATGAAAATCTTCAGTTTCGTTTTCTCGCGATACCCGTAGCCCCAAAGCCACTGCCGTCCTTCCGTGAATCGGGTCCCAGCTTAGTGGCAACGGCGTCATCCCCACATCCCACGAAGCCGGACTCCGCTCCGGAAAGTTTTCACTTAAAGAAAAATCTCACGATGCTCCACTCTAGGGCTTTATCTTCCCTCACCCGCGCCCCCAACCTCAACCACACCGATCCAAGGATATCCAAGGATCACCATCGGAAGGGTGGCCGAGTTGGTTATGGCGCCAGGTTAAGGTTAGCTTAACATCTGTTTCCTGGTGGGGCAACCCGCGCGAGTTCGAGTCTCGTCCCTTTCATTTTCGTGTTTTTGATGTCGGTGACAATCGTCTGTTATTAGTTTCGCGTCCGAGATGGCTCAAATTGTGCGTTGTGAGCTAAAGATAGCTGTATGACCATAGAGCTACCGAAATCCTGCGTTCAGATAAGCATAAGGCTCTCTATCACCGGAAGACTATTCATGAACATATCACTGATCTCATAATGCAGGCAGTGAGAGGCAAGGAATCGTGAGTGTTATATCAAAACTTTTACTCTTGGTAATAGGTATTACTCTATACTGTAATCATGCGTAAAATCATCATCTAGTGTTCATCACTTCTCGGTCTATGGACTAATATTCCACCTAGTATCCGGCCCACCAAGTGTAGTTGTTCGTCTGCTCAGCGGTATCCCAGACCAAGGGGACGCTGGAATCCTCCGGCCTCTCAGGCCACGCCTGCGCAAGGCCAGTCCAGACCTTGACGTCCTTCCAGGTAGCCTTGCCGCCCTCGGCAGCGAAGAAGGTCAAGCCCGTGCTGTCGTTGCGCGAGGGGTAAATGCGCGCCGTAAGCGCGAAGCGCTCGTTGACCCAGATCTCGAGCAGAGAGTTGTCGAGCACGACGTGGAAGTTGAGCTCCTCCGTGACGGTCGCGTTGGCGCCCTTCTCGTGGATCTGGTAGGGCTCAAAGTGGCCGACAAAGGTGGCGTTGTTGAAGTTGGGCAGCAGACTGCTGTGGGTGCGGATGACGCTGATCTCTGAGGCCTCGACGTCGAAGTTGATGGTGGTGTACTCGGCCGAGTCGGGGCTCTGGGCGAGGATGATACCCGCGGAGCCGCTGAAGTCGCTGAGGGTGGCAGTCAGCTCGTAGGACGTGCCGAGGTCAGCGGAGGCAGTCTTGGTGGTGTCGGTGAGCTGGCCGATCTCGAACTCGTTGGTCTGCGCGCCCTCGCGGAGGAGCTCGAGGACGTCGGGGAGGGGGCGCATGCCGAGGGTCTGCGCGGTGTGGCCGTTGCAGCTCTCGATGCAGGTGCTTCCGTCCTGCTGGGTGCCGCAGTTCTGGACGCCCTTGGTCTCCTTGATGTAGAGCTCCACGGGGAGGTTCATAGAACCCTGGTAGCCCATCTGCTTGGAAGTGTTGTAGCCGTAGTCGCCGAGGATATCGTCGTTGGCCCATCCCCACATGACGCGTCGGTCGGCGTTACGGGTGTCCTTCCAGGTAGCCTGGGCGTAGGAAATACCCCAGTCCAGGGCGGCACCGGCGGTGGGCGTGAACTCGACGGAGCCGTTGTCGCGGCGGGCGACGTCTCCGCGGTTCCACAAAGCCCACTGCTCCTTCCAGTGCTGGGTTGTGTTGCCGCCCTCGGCGCCCATGGTGACGAACCAGGCCTTCTCGTCCGAGTCGCCGACGGGGAGGTCGAAGAAGCTGCTGACTTCAAAGTTGTAGCCGTAGGATCCGGTGATGTCGGGGGCACCGAGGGACGAGTTCGCAGCGGGCTCCCAAAGAGCGCCGAGGAAGGTCCACTGGGTCAGGTTGGAGGAGGGCGCAGAGTAAAGCGGGATACGGGGTCCGATGAAACCGGGGCGGGCGGCGCCGGGGAGCTGGGCGGGGACATCGCCGGTCTTGAGGCCGGAGCCGAGAACCATGTAGTAGTGGGGCTCGCTGACCTGGAGGAGGCTGTCGAGCTCCGTAGAGGGGAAGAAGCTGGGATCTCTCCAGCCGGTGACGTTCCAGCCCTCGGGAGGTCCAGAGAGAACGGTGCCGACTTCGTCCCAGGTGGAACCTCCATCGGAGGAGGTGTACATGGCCTGCACTTCCGTGCCGGTAATGTACGGCTGCTTCCAGTTCGTGGGCAGGTAGTGAATACCGGTGCCGAAAGTCAGGAGTGTGCCATCGTTGGCGCCCTCAATGTTGACGGGCTGCGTGGTGCCGGTGAACTGCGAGAGAGGGCCGGAAGCGTACTTGCCAGAGGCGAGCGACACTGAAGAGTCATTTTGCCAGTCGCGGACATCGGTCCAGTGGAAAAGATCCTTGGAGACAGCATGGCCCCATGAGATGTTTCCCCAGTTGACGTGGTTGGGGTGGAACTGGTAGTGCAAGTGGTATGTCTCCGTGGCCGGGTCGTAGACGGCACCGCAAGGGTCGTTGAGCCAGCTGTGCGGCGCGAGGTAGTGGGAGCGAGGCCTCCAGCGGGTGAAGAGGGAGTTGTTGCCAGCGGTTGCGAGGTACTCGGGAGTGATGGTCGGGACGCTGGCAGATGAAGCCGGGACCGCGACGGCGGCGAGGGAGGCGATGGCCGTGAAGACGGCACCACCCTTGAGGACTGACATGCTGTGCTGCGATGGATAGTATTGGTAGACGCGCCGCTTGACCTCCAAAATCTCATGAACGCAGGCCCTCAAGGCGTTCATCTTATATATCGGCTGCGCGCGCTGCGCACGCCAGGACGACGATCCGACGGGACCGGGGAAGCTGTCATTCGGAGCTCTCGATACGACGTCAGCCAGGGCAGAGCCAAGGAAACAGCTCCGCAGACGGACCAAGGGTAAGGAGTCATGATCCCTGGGCGTGCGGTTCTACTGAGGCTCGGCGGAGACGGATCATGACGATGATGGTTACGAGAGTACATAGAGCAAAAAAAATCAAGAAGCAACTAACAGAGAGAGTTTCTTGGACTGTCTTTACGGGCCGAAAAGAAACCCAACCACTGGTCTTGGCCCCACGGGGGTTCGGTCAAGCCTTGCGTGGGAAACGAAAGAATTTAGGTAGGCAATCCTAGAAATTGGGGAAAGACTGGAGTAAACGCGGGGCGGCCATGCCGGTGGTCTAAGGTAATTTGCAACTTTTGGAATCAGGTCACGCTACTGACCCCAGTATTGGTGGGTTTAGTGGCAGATTGGCCTTCAAGTAGCCAGAGGGAAAATGCGGGAGTTGCGGAGGCGCGGGGGTTCGCCCGCGGTATTGCTCGCTGAAACTCATTGTGTGCTTTTCTTGATGAAGAGAAGAAGAGAGTCACAGAACGGCCTAGGCCGCAGACGCAGCTACATGTAAGCTATTGCAAAGCTCTTGGTGTTAAGCCCAAAACTATCAGCGACTGGAGCTCATGTGCATGGTTCAACGCTTGGAGATAGCCGCCGGTCTCGATTTGTTGCATCGACTCGCCATCCGAGTGGTTAAGCGGTCCGACAAGCTTGCAGCGGCAGCATCAGCGTCGTAATGCAGCATGCAGCGTCTCTCTAGGAGCTGGATACCAGAGGCAGAAAAAGCGTGGCAAGCGAGGGCCGCTGGGCAGAGATCATCGAATTGGCGCATGATGCCGTGGGGAAGATGGTAATTACGACGGCACTTTGCTCGCTGTTACCATTCCATGGGTGCGGAGGGAGGGACAAGGTTTAATGGCCGAGAGTATCGCCAGCTGTGCCCCGCAAACCACAGGATGATGGGTTTCCCCGATCTGGAGATGCTGGGACATGGTCTTCTTTTGGTTCTTTCAAGCGCAGGTCTCCAGTAGTTCTGTCACTTCTTGTCATTGGTGCCCTTGTCAACTTCGCCTTACGTACTCCGTAAGATCGCATACCCATTCGTCTAGGTGTTTGTCTCTTCCGGTCAAAGCTTTCCTCTCCTTTTGTGAGTTCGGATGAGTCTCCCATGAACCATGACGGAGGTCAATGGGGGCCAATAGACTTTCTGTGGAGGATGTGAGATAACTTTGCGGAGGTATTGTGGGGAAACAAAGTGGACTGACAGAGTCATTTGGGGTCATGAGCAACGTAAGATTTCTTCTAGAACGAAATTTGGACTTGGGAGAGCTTCTGAGAGGTCAATCGCATTGCCTATTCTCGCTGAATTCTAGAGATGGTGCCATCTAGCTCGGAAAACGGCCGACTAGTGGGGCTTACAGTTGCCGACAGACCGGACATCTTGACGAAAAGACATTTCATCCGACGCCGAGCTGCAGTTGGTCAAAGCAGCTTCGCAGTCGAAGCAGATGCACCTCCATCTGTTCGTTCCGTCGACGTCTCCAACAGTACTTCAGCCTACATCCCATTGGAAGATGTTCAAATTGGTCTTTGACAGACTGATTTGAGCAAATGCTTGTCTTCAGCCACAGTCCAACTCAAGAGCGGGGCAACATCGTCAGCCACCGGACGGCCCAGACGCTGTAGCCCAGGGAAACCCAGCTACAGTGCGCTACGCCAGAGGCCGATTGAACGCCAAAGTACGGGCTGTCTTTACAGGCATTCTACGCGAAGCTTAGACAAGCCGGAAAACGGACTAAGATATGCGAAAATTCTGCTCAATTCGAGCGATTTTAGAGACGTGTTCGCAGAACACATACCTCACAAACAATACCACCAGACTGCGTGGATTACGTAAATGAACTCTGGACTCAATAGGATCATTTGGTCCGAGGAAATGTCAAGTACAAGTCTGTGATGGGATAACTGTACTACTACCCAAAATTGATAAGCGCCCTAATGCAAAGAGTCAGTGTACTTACACGAGAACATAGCAGTATACTTTTGCTCAGAGTTTAAATATTCCTGCTTTGAGAGACACAGCAGCTTTTACCGGAAGACCCTTCAACTTGAGTTTCACTAATGATTATTCCAAGTTTTTACATGACTTGGATTCTCGTGAATTTACACAAAGTAGTAGATGAAGACCTGTCTTGATCGCTACTAAGTACTCTCAAGTTACCATAGCATCCTCAGATAGTTCCGCATAAACTCTGCGTCATGAGGAGACTTGTAGCTTCGTTCAACCTCAATACACTCAAGAGATACGGATTCCGAGATTGGGGAGGATCACCAGTGTAGACTGTGCAGAAGCTTTTGCCTCAAGACTCCCTTATCTTCAACGATGATTGAACAGTTATGGATCTTTGTCTTGAACCACAGTAAGAACTTGGCATAGAGGAATGCCAGGCTTGATACTTACGGTGGTGTTCACAAAAATAGTAATCGTCCCCAATTTCTCATCGGCATGGGACAACTCGAAAGGGTTTCCACGCGACAATGGAATTCCGGATACAGGTAAAGTTCTTGAGAGCATGATTCTGCGTCTCACGGAAAAGGAAAGAGATCCTGTTGATTCTGTCTTTGACCTCGCAGAGGTGATCATGGCTCGATGCCTGAGATTGGACTCCAATAAGATCGAAAGAAAATCTGAAAGATACACCACCCGGAAACATTTGACTACTCAATCAACTACATTGACTTTCAGGTCCATTTCTCGTCCGTCGGCTGATTGGCAAGAAACATACGGAGAGATTCGTTGCTCTAACGAATTAGGCAACAGGGCGAAAATGAAGGAGACAAGAGAGTCCATTCGCTAGTAGACAAAGAAAAAAAGAAGCAGCAGGAGATGAAACCGCCAGAGCGGGTCAAGGAATAACTCGAATCAATCGTTGGAATTTCAGGTGAGAGATCGGTCCTGGCAGAGTAAACAGAAAGTGAACATAAGACGCATCAATCGAGCGTTGAGGTAGGCACAATTTCGACTGCGCTCATATTGCAGACCCAAGGCGACTTCGTGCCCGAAACTGTAAATGAGGCCTAGGAAGTCAAGAAAGAATGCTGGCGATGAGAAAGAAGGAACGACACTCGATGGTTTCCACGAAGTCGAAAGTCGAGAGAAGTGAACAGAGGCGACAGGGAAAGGACGAGAAAGACACAAAAAAAGAGATGGAGAGATGCTTGATTATCTTACCAAATCCTCTGAATATCAGCACAGGACAGACACCAAAGAGTCTTACAGGAGGACTCATGCAACACATCCCTCGAGTTCGACTGGAGCTATTGCGGGAAATCAAACATCTTCCGAATGAGCTCAACATCCTCGGCAATCATTTTGCTTAGAAGGGGTTTGTTCTGGAACCCTTCAGTCACATCGTCGAGGAATAAAACAGTTTCTTGCGGATACCAAAGAAGACGGATATTAGACATTCCGAGCCAAGTCTGGTTGCGCCGTGTAGAGATGTATTGCCTATGTCAAGCAAATGAATGAAAACGTAAAAGAGAGAGGATATTGTCATGCAAGAAACACAGGCCTTTGCTGACTTCCAAACGGTTGGGCACCTCTGCATCCCAACTGTTCTTCCTGACTTGAGGATCTCATAGACCTCGAAACCAAAGAGGCAAATGCTTTCGAGGCCCAAAATACATGTGTTTCGTCATTGTGTTCACTGCTATGACCACGTCACCGTTCTCCTTTTGGCCTGGTTTATGCCTGCTTTTTTGTTCTTCCTATTTTAAATTTCCCTTCGTTAAGAATGACAACATGGATGGAAACCCTTGGGGCCCATACTTTCCATATTGGCGCTTACATGCGGCATTCTACAGTGGTCACTACGGTCGCCGTAGCAGTCCCGTTCATCCTTTTTGCTCTTTATGTCAACTCACAACTTTCCAAGATTCCGAGGCTGAAGCCTGATGGTCCGGCTCTTTCAGACAGCGGCAAGGTTTCCAAGTAAAGCTAAGCAACTCGTTCCACTTCTCAGCGAGCTCCCATCAAGCTCCCATCCCAAGGGTTCTGGCTTGTCTTAAGACACGTCCACAAGCTGGTCCGATGCTTTGCGATACTGGCCTTTCACTGTCACCTTATGTTAGCACTTGCGCTTGTTACTTAGTGTCGGATCTTTGCGTGGCTTCGAGGCTTTGGAGAATCCAGTAGAGAAGCAAGAGATGGAGGGAGAGAATAGGGGAGGAGGCGATACATCGCTGGACACATCTTGAAGGAAATGAAACATCGCGGAGGTGTTGTGGAGGGAGGTATCGAGGAAACGCGTGCAGAGGAGGTTTGATCGGTTCAAAACATATTCGGTATGTGGTAAATAAGGCGTAATTGCTGGCTGGCAATTACGGTTCCGTTTTTGTACAACACGGTATCAGCTAGGTAATTTAGGAAATCTCTTAGGGGTCTAGAGTCTGGCCGCGTGTTCATAAATTGAGCCGTGTGGATCCACATTGACTGTTATTTGGAGGATCTGGATGTATTCATCTGTACAACAATCTTGTTGACAGGAACTCTCATCTATGGTTCGCGCACAATGTCAAAGGCTTAACAGTGCTGAGCATGTATGCATGATACCTTTTGGAAACTTCCTTTACGAGAACTAAAGTGCGGCTGACATTTGTAAGTAGAAGCCGATGAGGGTGATGTGTCATGCCCTGGCAATCATTCGCTGTGGCTATGCAATGATTTTGGGAACTTGCTGGTAACACTGTCATTCCACATGTCGAATCTCCTACTAGCTGAGGGCTTAAGGGCTCTTCTCACCGCCCCAGGATTTCCTTCCTTGCATCAATGCGTTTCCTGCCCTTGTCTTTGAAGAAGTGAAGGGGCCGCTGCTATCCAATATGAATACAACTCAACTCCAACAACCCCACCGTCGCTTGCCAGTCTTCTCCAATTGACGTGCCCGCCCTCACGACTTCCCCTGTCCTTCGGGTCAGATCGGCGTGTTGGCCCCCCTTGAATGGTCTAATTGGTGCAACCATGCCTAGGAAATTTATCGGTTTTCGGGTTAATGAGGGCGAAGGATGTAAACCTGCTACCAAAACCCCCAGCGAGCTCCGATTCTTCTAGTGTCAACCAAAGCTAGCGCGCGCCATTCCCCAGATTTCACCCCGCCCCCATGATCCGAGTGTGGGACGGTGGAAGATCTTTGCGGGGATAAGTGCGGAAATCGAGGATGAACCTCGCTCCTCATGGAGACTCTCTTTTGTTTCCTCTCTCTTATGTAGTGTACAACAGCCATGAGCTGCATAGTCTGGTAGCACCGCCGCCGCTCTCTCAAACTCCGTCAGTCTTGACCGCAATCCTTATGCTCATTCGCCCGGTCTAGGCGCGCGCAACCTTCTTTCAACTACAACCAAGAGTGGAACCAAGATCCCGAAGTGTTATCGACCAGCGAAGATGGGTGGATTTCGTGCGGTCGAGGATCGACCAACGCCGAAGGAGGTGTACAATTGGCGCCTCTATACAGAGTCTTTCATCATTGCGATGGGCTCTTTGCTGTTCGTCCCTGCTTCATTCTCCGGTCTAACTCTAGGCCGCCCCTCAGAGAATGTGCTAATTCGGCTTGGACAGCTTCGGATATGACTCCGCTTTCATTGGAACAACCATTGCGCGCAAGAGCTTCGTCTATGAATTCGGCATCACATCGTTGACATCCAAGGAGATATCTTCCAATATTACTTCAGCCTTCCAAGCCGGCGCATTAGGGGGCGCGCTTATGTGTTTCTTCAGTATGCCCTTATAGCCCCCGCAAACGTCAGACTCCATCGCTGAAGCTAATGCCTGTCATACATAGTCACGGAGTATGTTGGTCGCAAGTGGGCACTCATCATTAGCAACATTGTGTTTCTTGCTGGTGCTATCCCCATGGTCGCTGCCACGAACGACCTCGCATACATGTATGCTGGCAGAGCACTCACCGGCTGGGGCTGTGGTGTGATCACAGCCACGGTACCTTCCTACATTGCCGAGCTATCGGTCCCTTCAATCCGAGGTATTCTTACAGGTCTTTTTGAGGTCACGTACCAGACAGGATCTTTGATCGGCTTCTGGATCAACTATGGCATCAATCAAAACATGAGTGCCACAAGCTCAGCATCGTGGCGCGTGCCCATGGCTGTTCAGCTCATTCCCTCTGGAGCTTTATTGATCGGTGGATTTCTGCTTCATGAGTCGCCCTTGTGGCTTTACCGCAAGGGGCGCGAAGAGGAGGCGAATAAGAACCTTGTTGCTTTGCGACACTTGCCGATCGACCATCAATACATGCAAGAGGAAGTGGAAATGATCCGCACCAGACTTGCTGAGGAAGCCTCGGTTGCGGCGACTTACGGCGGCGGGTTCTACGCCTACATCCGAGGATCGCTGCATGAACTTTCGCGAAAAGGAATGTGGAACCGTTTGCTTCTGGTCTTCTGCGCGTTTGCTTTGCAGAACATGTCCGGTGCCGCGGGTGAGTTTGTCACTATCGTCTGATGGAGCCCACTGCTAACGATCCATACCTTAGCTATTAACTACTACTCTCCCATGCTCTTCGGTTCCATTGGCATCAGTGATGTGGCCCTATACACGGGCATCTATGGTCTGGTCAAGGCCGTCGCTTCCATCATCTTTTACGGTGCACTTATCGATATTTGGGGGAGACGGAGACCGACGATCATTTCATCTCTGGCCTGTTCTCTCTGTTTATGGTTCGTCGGTGCCTACGTCAAGGTCGGTAATCCGGCACCCATTATCGTCGCCGGAGGAAAGCTTTCCGCCTCGACGGAAGCTGGCGGCCGCGCCGCTACCGCCGCCATCATGATCTACTCAGTATTGTGGGTTGCTTGCTTGCAAATAATAGGGAACAGTAATACTGACTAGTACAGCTGGTCTTTCGGTTTAAATGGTATCCCATGGATCGTCTCGGCAGAGATCTTTCCCGGTGCTCTCCGCAATTTGACTGGAACCTTTGCCGCTTTCACCCAGTGGCTGATCCAGTTCATCATCACAAAAGCTCTTCCGTACATCTTCAGTAGTCTCGATTATGGCGTTTGGTTCTTTTTCGCATGCTGGATGCTCACAGCTACCATCTGGGCATTCTTCTTTCTGCCCGAAACGAAGGGTGTCACAATCGACCAGATGGATGTTTTATTGTAAGTTCATCGAAGTAACTCCTCATCTCAGCCTATTCCGGCACTAACAGTCCTATTCAGCGGCTATGAGGGTGATCGTCGGGCCCAAGCTCCAGCTCTAAGATCCGATGACGCGAAGAGCGTAGAACAAGATGTAAGAGAAGTTGACGAGGCGGGTAGAGCTTGATGCTTGGTTCGCAGAAGCCTTGAGACCTGGTCAAAAACGTTACTTGGGGTCGGCGGTGAAGCACTTGGAACAGTTGTGACAGGCCTCTGCCAGAGGTTTTGCTGTCGAATGTGGTCCTTGAATTAGTCTCATGGAGGAAGGTTACACTGCCCTTTTTCCCTCATAGATACCTCTCAGTCCAGAGACTCATATTCCTCTCGACTCAAACCATTTCAAGCGAAATGAACATAAGCCGCCACATTCTCCATGTCGTAACCGTGTATTAGATGTTCAGATTTGAAAGACTCTTTGGTTTTCTGTCATGATAAACACCAGCACCCCCTGATTATGCTAAGCTACGTCGGCCTTGCTGGGCTGACTATCTGTGGAGACAAAGCCCGAAAACGATGGCAGCCGGGTCGCATGAGACTCTATCGTAAATGTATGTGTAACAGAAATCCCTCTGCCCAGTCCTACCCATGTCGCCCCGCGAATGACTGCACATCCTTAATTTCTCTCATTTTCAGTCTGATTGTCTGCGACTCAAGATACAAAGCGAGCAAGATGACTCTTTGGGACTGTATTGTAGTCGAAGGCGGCATCGCCGGTTCCGTGGTATCAAACAGGTTGCTTCAACAGGACCCAATCCTCAGAATCCTGCTCGTTGAAGCTGGCACCAACACCCATGCCGTCGAGAACATCGAATGGATTGACATGAAAAATGCCATCGGCGGCGAATACGACTGGGGGTTCTCCTCTGTTCTCTCCTCTGTTCCACAAACCCATCTTGACAACCGGGAGATTGTATCGCCCGTCGGTAAGGGACTCGGAGGTGGTAGCATTATTTATGGAGGTAAGCTCGACTGTTTTGCGGAATTGACATGCGTCATCTAACGACTCGGAAGCTGCCTGAGCCCGCGGTCACAAGGTTGACTATGGCATCTGGGCCGAGAGAGTTGGCGACCAAAGATGGAGTTACGAAGGTCAACTTCCGTACATGAAGAAGACTGAGTCGCTTTTTGACAACTTCACCAACCCCCTTTCTCACGGGCACACTGGCCCTGTCAAGGTTCAGTCACCAGGATCCACCGGTCGCGTTTTCCCTCTCCGCGAACCCCTACTCGAGTCTTGGAAAGAGCTTGGAATCGATGCACTCCCTCAACTGGACAACAATGCCGGAAACAACCTTGGTGTTGCAGACCTTCAGGAGAACAGGAACCAAGGAAAACGCCAACTTGCTTCGCTCGTTTACTCCCTCAAAGGTATCACGGTTCTGACCGATAGCTTGGTCGCCAAAGTCCTGATGGAGAAACATCCAAAGGATGGTCATCTCGTCGCTCGTGGAATTAGGCTTGAGAACGGGACCGATCTTTTGGGACGAGAGACCATTCTGTCTGCTGGCGCGTACCGCACGCCGCAGATCCTGATGCTTTCAGGCATCGGTCCCGCGGATACCTTGGAGAAGTTTGGTATCCCCGTCCTTCTGGATCAACCAGCGATTGGCCGGAACTTCCACGATCACGTTCTGATCCCTACGATCTGGCAACTGAAGAACGCATCAGCAGGATACACCAAGGAGTCCGGCAATCCCGTTTTCAACCAGTCTCAATACGCACTAGGGGCTTTCATCGATTTCATGACGGTCACTTCTCTCGAGAAAGAAGGTCTAGCTATTGCCATTGCCGAAGACGAGGGATCGGTCCCGGATCCCGCTGTACATCCGTTGCTGAAGCAAGATCGCGCTCATTCATCACACTTGCTTCAGTACTCGGGGGTTTCCGCGGATGGTTCAGCCATCTTGATGATTTCGGTTGTCTTTATCAACTCTGCCCGAGGTTCTATCACTATCCAATCCTCCGATATCAAGGATGCACCACTCATCGATCCCAACTTCTTGGGTACTAACGTCGACCGCTATGCTGCTAGGGAGACCATCAGACGCAACATCAAGTTGCTGACTTCTGATGAAACGATTATAGGAAGAGAGGTGGTGGCGGGCGAGCTGGCGGCAGAGCCATTGACACTGAACTCCACAGACGAGCAGATCGATGCCCGGGTGCGCGAGATGGCAGGGTAAGTGACGCCTTCCCTGCGGATGAAGACAACTTCTTCTAACACATATCACAGGGGATGCTACCATCCTGCAGGCACAGCCTCCATGGGTACTGTTGTGGATACAGACTTGCGCGTGATTGGGGTTTCGGGTCTTCGTGTTGTTGATACTTCAGTGTTCCCTGTCTCCGTTTCGGCCAACCTACAAGTGGCTATCTACGCTCTAGCAGAGCAAGCTGCTGAGATCATTGGGTCAACGATGAAGAAGTGCTAAGCCTATCGCGTCAATGAGACGGGGGTATAATGTGATAAAATTTCGAAAGTCCCCCATGCTTCGGCATTAATCTCACTCAATTCTCAGGCTATTTCACTATAGATCATCAAGATAATGTAAACGAAAGTTCAGGAGGCTAGTTATTCAATTAATGTGGTAGTAATATGTAGCCTAAAGCCTCATGTTCATCGTCGAGTTCAACTCTCCAAAGCGGATGTTGCTGAACGTCACCTCAGGGTTGGCCACGATCGAGGTGATAACCGAGGGGTTACCCTCAGTAGCGTTGCAAGGGCCATTGTTGCCCTGGTCAAGCCACGACATGAAGGTCGAGTCATCCCACCACAAGCTCATGGCCAGAACCATACCACGCGACATGGCACCGCCCATGACCTCCATAGCACCCAACCGCATGAAGTCGGAGGCACCAGTGGCCTGGCAGTACTCGTCGTTCATGAAGTTAATCTTCGGGGGTCCCTCGATATTGACAACGTTGTTCTGGATGACCTTGCCGTCCTGGACGTACATGCGGCGGAGCTCCTTGAGCTTGCCGTTCTGGGCGGGGAACTGCGTGACGACAGTGAACTTGCGGGTAGTGTCGACCTTGTAGTCGGCACCGCGGCCGTAGAAGTCGGTCACGTTCACGCGGTTGGCGTTCCAGGCGCAGCCGGACTTATCGCAGACGCCAGCCTTCTCGCACTCCTCGCCGGTGCACTTGTAAAGGCCGGGCTGGCTGCAAGGGTGAGGCGCGATGTGAGTTGCACGAGAGTTGGCCTCCCAGATGTCAAGTTCGTTGCAGCAAGAGCCCTTTTGGTCAAAGTTGCCCTGATTCTCGTGTTAGTAATGCACAGTGTCGGGCATGGAGACAGAGGGGACTCACAACTCCGTTGATGAAGGACGTCTTGAAGCACTGCGCATCGCAGTAGCCGGTGCCCCACGCGGGACCAAGCTTGTTCAAGGAGCTTGTGTTCTTGCCACCGTCCGGAAGCATCTCGGACAGGTACAGCGCGCTGTTCATGCCGCAGGGCAAGTTGACCATGTCGACGTCGAAGCTGAACTCAGATCCCGTGAGCTGGATCATTTCGTAGCGCTGCTTGTTCTCCTCCAGCAGGTAGATGCGGGGAGAGACTTTCTGCTTGTCGGCATTGAACATGGTCAGACGAATGTCCGTGCCGTGAGTAGTGACACCCTTGGTGCTGTAGTCGGCGATACCCTGGATGTGGCAGTTGGTCGCGCACTCCTCGGGAGTGGTACAGGCAGTGGAGTTGGGCGGGTTGTTGCCGGTCAGGCAGCTCACGCCGCTCGAAGTCTTGATTTGATGCTGACTTGAGTCGACGACGAGGTAGTTGGTCTTCTTCTGGCAACCATCCTTGACGGTGCAGCGGAAGGTCTCGATCTTGGGGTGTTCATCGGTAGAATTGCCAGGCGCCTGACCGGAGACGAGGCTGGCGAGAAGAAGAGTAGCGGAAAGAATGGAAAGCGCCATGGCGGGCAAAGTGCAGATGCTGAGTTGGTCAACAAAGTGCGAAGAAGGTCAAAAAGGAGTGACTTGAAGTTGAGAGAAGCGAAGCTTGTGCCGAACTAGAGTCGTCTGAAGTCCCCAGCGGCAACAACGTCGAGCTATATACTTTTGATGAACAGCATGACCGTCCCATTCGAAACCGAACAGACTCTAAAATCATCAAACTGTTTCAACCCGTCAAATTGGGTTCGGAGACCCCATGAGGATCCATCTGGAGTATTCCGACAAGCTTTCGGGGTTCACTGGTTGATTGCCTCAGGGGCTAAAGGGGCCACTGTGACTATATGCAAGGGGCTTTGGGTGTGACAGCAATTGCGGGCAGTAGCCTCAATCTAATCTATCTATCAGAGGCGGCTCAAGCAGGACATGTGCAGGAGGAAACTTTGGGGACAACGACAGCAATGGCGGACATTGGAGAATAAGAAAGGACCGAACGGTCGAGGATGGAGCATTGGGCACTTGGGGGCCATTATACCCGAAAGGTTGTCAGGGACTGCCCGGCCTTTATTTCGGCAAAGTGGGATGAGAGCCAATATTTCTACGGATGAATCCGTGTCTATCGCTCCCAATTGTCCCAAATTGGTGTTTCCTTCCCACAGTTTACCGAACAAGCGCGATTTAAACTTTCCTCCTGTAACAGAAAAAGGGTTTCGCAAAACTTTATCGTTAACGATGCATCGCCTCAGAGGGTCACCTACTCTAGCGGCATCATATACACGAATCAGATTTAATCTAGTCGTCGACAACTATCCACGCATCCCACACTCGCCGACGGCTACATCGCTCAAAGCTCAGGTAGGTGTCAAGTCAACTACCCAATCTCCGTCCCATGTAGCAGAGTAATAACTTCCAGACAGGAGACCGTAGTTCGGGCGTTGCACCGAATCGCTCGCAGCGAGCCCGAATACTCGGTACGTGAGAGTTGATGCTGCCAACTTTACATCGACTCGAGTGTATAACATGACTGGCATACGCGGGCATATCCAATTGTGGCGTCCGTCCCTATTATCTTTGATCACCTATAGAGATCCAATATATTGCATCTTCTTCCATGGCTCCTACTCTACCACGAGGATCCATCATACAAGCTCAAAGATTCGCCATTTAAGTAAGTAATCTTACGCTTAGAGTTCTCTGCACGATAGCCTTCACTTCTTGATCTACGCGGCACGCCTGCTCAGAACTGACCCTAGCTCCCGGCTTGGGTGCGGATCTGGCTTCTGCCCCGGTGTTCGCGGCGAACTCGGATCAACTGGATGTCCTGACTTAGCATTGCTGATGGAAACTGAGTTTCTTGGCTTGCGGATAAATTACGTGTAAGTCATTGGTAAGGTAGGGCCAGGGGTTTGTCACACTCGCGCTCCTAAGTCCCCGTTGAAGCTGTGGGGTCCGCACTGTAAGCGGACTTTGCTAGTCGCGGCAGCTCCGAGGTGCTTTTGTCTATCTCCGCGTGTCAAAGCGAAGTGGTATGATTCTGTGACTAGAGTGATATCTGGAATCTGGCGAGCATAAGAAAGTGTTGATGTACATGCGTCGACAATCTTCTCGATTTTGAGCAAACGAAGAAGGCTGAAAGCACCAACACGAGAATTGATCGCTTCTGTGAAAAACTGTCAAGTCGCTGTGACGCCATGAGTCAGACACCAGCTTCGCCATTGGGAAACAGGTATCAAACCTGGTGGCGTTTCGTTTCGAGACTCTTGGATCTTCACATGCATACGCAGGCATGCTTAATTCGTCTGAAGTCAAGGAAAACTGATTCGAGTTTCTTGTAGTAGGACATCTCTCAGTTTTCTTCTGAACCGGCCAGAAACGCGTAGCAACTGTCTCCTGATAGGGTCATTCACAATTTCAGGGTGCTCAGTTGTTCTGAAGACTTCCAAAGTATGAAAGGTGTGCATACGGCCACGAAGTTTAGTGAGTTCGGCCAGATCCATTCAAGTTCAGCTCTTGATGTAGGACCTCAGGTGCCAATTATCGTGCTCGATTGCTGTTGCGTAAGGTAGAACAACACGACTCTCAAATAGCTGAGTATTTATAGCACTTCTATTTATCGAAATACGACGTTATAGTAGTTGAACAGGGGTAGAGACAACCAACATGTATGATAGATAAGGGGACCACGCCTACCCACCTCCGTACAGACATGGTAGTATTGGCTATTCAAGCAAGTCAAAAATCCTACACAATGCCGCACCTGCGTTCAATATCCTGAACAACTATACCAATCTAGTTCGGTTTAAGCCTTGGTTCTTGTTCGTGGGCCACCTCATCGTTAACTTGTCAATAGCCGATCAGGTTGAGCAGATGTTTACATTCCACCTACTCTTAGTGTCGAGGACACAAACTTTAGTGTTTCCTCCCCTACATCGATATACTTTTGCTAACGCGACTAAAATGATTGCAAGAGAAGCGGATTCTCGTGCATTCAGACTGAGTACCCCATGTCCCATTAATGATTTCTAGACGCCCGTGTCCTTTACGTCTTTTTCCTGTCTCGCCCGGAAGTTTCCAGTCACTTGCACTTTTGAAGGAGCAACTAGGCTTCTCCAAGCCATCAATTTCTAAGAGATCAGAGATTTTACTTACGAACTTTACTTTTCCTGTCGTCATCGAGACTTCCGCAAGAAAGTTGATGTTGCCAACTTGCTGCTATAAGTCGGAACACCCCCATTCGGCCACCCCCCCCATTCGGCCACCCTATCAAAAGTAGGTCCAGGCACATCGCTACTAACTATAGTCAATTAATTAACTACCTTCTACTACTACTATAATATAGCTACTACCCTTACTAAGTAATTCGACCTCTGCGGTTTAACTAGGACTAATTAAACGCTCGCTAGCGTCTTCCTAAGCCCTTTTTATATCCCTAATATTAACGAACTTAGTATTTAAATCTATTTAAATACTCTTTTTTTTTTAGGAGCTATATACTTAACTCTAGCTTCTAAAACTTAAACTTATTATTAAAATAAGGCTAATAAAAAAGACTTCTTATTAAAAGCTTTTTTAACCTTATAAAAAAATAGACGTTAAGTATTATAATTAGGCCTAAGCTCTATAAATAGCTTTAGCTATTTATAGAGATCGCTAGCTTTTTTAAGAATTAACTAGTTAATAATAAATATTATAGAGGTCTAATTAACGACTTTAGTAATATTAGTAGTTATTTACTTAGTATTAGTAGTATTATTTAATAATATAGCTAGGCTAGACGATACTATAGGATTACTAAGAAATATAGCTATATTAAGTAGCTATAAGCTAGTTACTCTCTAATTACTTCGTATATTATCCCTCGTTAAATTAAATAAACGAGTAATAATATAATAAGCTAAGAAGTACTGCTTTTTAACGATAATAAAATTATTTATTATATTCTCCTTACTAAGCTCCTTTTTATAATAAGTTTTAGTAAGACTAAAAATAGCTATATTTAATAATTAGAGGATATAAGAAGTATATAATAATAAGAATAATAAGTAAACGTTATTAATATAATACTCCTATATAAATTCTATTATTATATAACTCCTATACCTATTTAAAATTAATAATCGAGGTTTTAGTTATAAGTTAGGTCCCCTAGTTAGGGGGGGCTTAGTTTATAATAAGAAAACTACCCTTAACTATATAAGGGTAGTTTAGTTTACAATCTACCTATTATTTATTACTATAAACTCCTAACTATTAAGATCTTTAAAATTAAGGGGGAACTACTATTATTAAACCGACTTTCTTTTATAAATTAATAATAATTTAATAGCTCTATTATTAATAAAAATATACTTAATAATAGAGATCTAAGAACGCAATCTAAGCTCTTTTTTCTATACTATGTTAGTTTTAACTATGCCCAAAACTAGCCTATTAAATCCCTTATTTTTAAGGATATTAGTCTTATTTATATTATATTTATTAACTTATTTAATATCCTTAATCTCTAAGATATTAAGTAATTAGAACTAGGGCCTAATTATTTTAGTAAATACTCTATTAATACGCTTTAAATTTATAAAACGACTTCTTTAAACTTTAATAAATAGGTTCTATTTTAAAAAAGTATCTATCTATCTCTTCTTAAGAGGATAATTATCCTCCTAAGTTTATAGAACTTATTTAGCGAATTCTTTAACTTATTCATAAGTTAATATAACTTTTAGAATATACTAAATACGAACTTATTTAGCTAGCCTATTTTTTTATTAAGGGGGAAGCCTCTATTAGTTAGTAAAAGTAATTACCTTAGCTTATTAACCTTATTAATAATTCCGAAGTATATTTCTTAAAATACCGAACTTAATTAAGGCCCTCTTAACTAAGGTACTATTTCTAATTACCTCGAGCGCTTAAATAACTTTATTTTCGGTATACGATATTATAGTATAATAAAGAATATATATACTAAAAAGAAATTCGTTTAGACGATAATTATAATTATTATGGTGGTTTATAGATTGAGGGTAGGATTTTAATTAGGGGGGCTAGGAGGGATTTTTGGGGTGGCCGAATGGGGGGGGTGGCCGAATGGGGGTGTTCCGACTTATTCATAGGGACGAAGGCTCGTAAATGCACTCAGTATCCACACAGTATCCGAATCTCCTTCTGCATGAAGTACTTTTCACAAGGATAACCAAGCTGAGTGAAGTTGACAATGTCCATCGCAGCGATGGTTCGGCAATGTTACCCAAGGAATCATAATTCAGGGCACCTAGCCTAGGTTGGCAATCGTCAAGTCGCAGCTGAAAAGTGCGGCTGAATCTCCGCCGCTTGGCAGATCCCACGTGATAGCCTCCTGACAACCTCTCCATTGGGTCTAAACATCGAGACTCATGGTCTTGATGAAAAACACAATCACAACACATCATCTCGTTTGCCAGTCGCGGCTTATATGCTTTGAATTTTCGGTCTGGGCGAATCTCTTCGGAAAGCAAACTTTATTGCCGCTACCATTGACACCGTGA